CATATGAAAACAAAGCTTACTTCTCTTTCAAAGCACATTAGTCTTCACCGTACCGTGAGGTCTCCAGGATCTCTTGAGGCCAGGAAGATTCTAGCTCAATTCTAGAGTAATAAACTAGAAGTCATGCCTAAAACACACTGCTTTGTCTCATGCTAATAAGACTCCGGGTTCCTTGCTTATTCTGTGAAAATCAGTGTTGTGATGAAAAGATTCAGTATGATTCAATCAGTGTTTCTTGTTGTTATTCAAAGTGGAAGATAATTAAAATTGAACAGAAAATTCTCTCAGATTGTTACTATCAGTGATGTCTTTAAGTCATAACAAAAAATGACTAGAAAAATCTTTCCATTCAAAGCCTTCTTTGAGAAAAGCAGTGACAATGACTCTGCCACACTCCATTAAATTTATATTGGGTCTGAAGAACTGCTGTCCATCCTGGCCTGAGGGTATCAATCAGTGGAGGACAAGTTACGTCCCTCACCAGTCTGGCACTCAGTTTGATGCATCCATTCAGCCGTGAGCCTGTGTATGGATTAACTGCAAGAATTCAAGCAATATCACAGTTACACTTGTTTTGCTTGAGAAAATGCAATATAACTCCATAAACTGACAAAGTCGAGTCTCACCAAGAACAGTTCAGGCCCATACAAACTTAAAGGCACATTCCTGTTACTCAGTTGGCAACTAAGTATAATCCATTGACCTAAATGCTGTGTCACTCTGCTGTGTACATTGGGTTTGTGAGTGATTGGGTATGTTCAAACCTCTAGTGCTCAAAACCAGTGTTTTTATGCTTTTTTTTTGATACAACACGAGCCTGCTTGATGTGCCTTGGCAAAACCCATGCAAGAGGGGTGCAAGTTAATCTCAGGGTGTGAAATGATGAAAGAAGTCATCTAAGGCAGGTAAAGTTTAAGACTGTTTCCCCCCATCTTGCAAACCTCAGTCTCTGATGTCAGTACCTTCATTTATTCCCTTTCTTTGTGGCATAGGAATGGAACAGACCTCTTAAGACATGGAATTTAGCTGGAATATAGCTATTTAGCTATAACAAAGGCATCTTATAGTCTTTCCATTCCTAAACAAATTAAGTTTCATCATAAAAGTGTTAAAAACTGCCATTAGAAGGCTATTTCTGAATCTGACAGTTAAATTAATTAGGGTCTAACATAATCCTGAAGTTTGTCCACAGTCAACTCCTATAGACTACATCACCATACAGACTTTTCAGACAATTAATTATGCCAAGGATTTGATGATTTACACTGTATGCAAACTGCAATCAAGATACCAAGTTCATGTGTGATATGATGGCAACTATGAGAAATGTTTTTGAAAGTGAAAGTCTAGTCTACTAAACTCACTGCTCTGTCCTTGAAATGTTTTCACCTACTTAGTCCAGAAAACCTCAACAGTTAGCATAAGTTGCTTGGACCTGCAGGCTTAATTGCACAATGTTATCCATATGCTAAATAAGCCCTGAATTACTGTAGAATTAAAGTACATGGAATTATTGGGTTATTTTTGACTGTGTATTTTAAAACATCAATGCTAAATTAAATAATTTAAACGAATTGAAATTAATTATTGTTCAGAAAAAGTACCTATTGTATACTTTGTCTGAATTAATGCATTGCAATCTTCAGTATAAAAATCCAGGCATCCCAAAGTGATGATTCTCCACCTTCTTTTCTGATCTTTTTAATGAGAATAGGCTACAAAGATTTTTTTTAAATCCTCTTTCATTACCATCTGCTGAGATTCTCAGTCTGAGTCCTTTCCTTTCTATCCAAAAACTGGCAGAACACCTACAGCTTTATGAGTGTCTTCATCTCCAAAAGGCAAAGATAGTAGGAAAAAAAACTGAGGAGAAGAACTGAATTGCCTCCTGCTCCCTGCAAAGCTTCAAACTGTCCTCTGAGCACTTCCTCCACGGCCAGGGAAAGACCACCTGTAGCTTGGTAGACTACCATTGCTTCTTCATGTAAACTATTTTAAACATTAAAACCCGCCAGTCCTTGATTTCCATAGGTCCTAAAGGATCAGACAGACAGTTTCTCAATGTAGGGGTATCAGGAACTGATCACAGTTCTGAGCTGAGTACCAATTCTACAACATTCCCAGGAAATTAGACCTACAGTAAGAAATATTGAGGTCCAGACCCCCTGACAGAGGGAATGCCATAGCACTGAGGCAGGTGGCACAAAGGAGCACTATCAGCAGCATAGGCAGAGCTGGTATATGTCGAGTTTCCTATGCAGTCTGTTCAAGTTGTTGTCAAAGGCTAACTTCATAGTCCAGCTTTTAGACATTGGTACAGTCCTACCTGTGCAGAGAATGAAGGCAAGTGGCAAATGGTCTGGCTTGGGTGCTGGACCTATTAGTTTTGAAAATTTGGGTGAGTAAACATCTGCTCATCTTATGTAACCAAAAGCATGCTTGGAAGAAATCAGTATTTATGTCCCCATCCTTCATCTGAGCAATCTGCAAAGGAATTATGGAGGGTAGGTTCACCCATATTTCTACCTAAGCATTCAAGGTGCCATACAGAAAGTGCATGAGTATTATGGCTCTTCACGTCTTCTAGTTGAAGCAGAAGCAACTTTACTGTGAAAAAAAGGCTTCAAAAGGGAGAAAACTGCAACTTGTTCTCTTAGCCCTCTCTTATGACCAAATGCAAAATATATGCATCTTTTATGAAGCAAGATCAAAACTTCATCAATCATAAACGTCTTTGTTGCTGATAAGAAGTCACTCTGGATATCAAAGGTGAAAGTTGACCTGTAAAAGGTTGCCAACACACCTTATGATACTGAGTGACAGGGCAATGACCAGAAAATTAAATTCAGTGTGGATAATCACAAAGCAATGCACACGAAAAAAGCCATATTATGTATTTATGCACATATACAATGCTGGGCTTTAAGCCAGCATTTGCTAGCAAAGGGTGTCTATCCCTACTCATTTTATTTGCACGTCTCCTTTATTTCTCCCAGTCTTTCCCAGCTCAGGTCCAGTGCAGATAGCACCTTGCCATGAGATGGTGAGTGCAGTGGGGCATGTGTCAGGCAGATACTTGTTTTCTCAGCATGGGAGCCATGCATCTTAGCCTTCTATACCAACCAGATGTCAAGCTTACAGTCTCTCATGCTAAACCATCCTGTGCTGGGTTGTTTTAGCACGTCTGGGAGCAGTGTCTTTATTTTTGTTGACCAGTGCAAGCCTGTGACCCAGGTGAATTAGGAGTGCCATGACAGGGCAGGAGGATCAGGTGGGATCCAAAGGGATGTCTGCGAAGTGCCAATTTCTTTGGCCAGGTTGGAATAATTAGGGTCTCTTCACTAGAGGTCTCTTGTGCCCACTGTATGCATCTACCTGGTGACGAAGTCTCAACTTCATCCTTCCCCACCCTCCTTCCACACAGCTGATAAACACTACAGTCATTTATGTAATCTTTAAGATATGATCTGAGCTGTTGTTTTACATCTCAGTTACTCCATTGTCACTTTTACTCATCTTCACAAAAGATGATCAGGTGCCTGTGTCCCAGGTGATTCTGTAAGTTTTTGCTTTCTGGTTTTTTTGTCCTCATTTTCAAGTTCTTTGATGGTTATTATTTTCTTTTTAAAACCAATGTCTAAATTAATTTTTTATTGGAATGTACATTTCACAAAAAGTCAGATAAATTTTTGCTCGTTTGCTTTTCCTTTTATTCTTTTCAGTCCCATGAGGAGAGAAAGAAGGGACTTTTTAAAAAACTGAAAAGAAAACAAACCAGAGCAGAAACACAAAATCAGGACTAAAGGCAGAAGCTTTTCTCAAAGCCTCTGATCTCTATTCTAGGCCTTATCCTTTCTCCTCTGGCTGTAATTCTTCCATTTTGGCCAATAAACTTCCTATGAAATATGTTACAGAGAAACAAGGTTATCCAACTCACCATTCCGCCACCAGGATTTCTCACATGTTACTATATCTTCAGCATAAATACTGCCTTCAACATGGATTAGAACAAGACTTGAAAACTTTTCTCTTATTAAAATAACATGATGGCAAAAAGTTTGAGAAACAGCTGTTTCAAGCATAAATACAAACAGTACAGGACATCCTTCTAACCAGGACGACAGAGGGAGTAACTACTTCAGCAGTTGTGACTAAGGAGCTGGTTAGAAACAGCTGGTAATATATTTTTGCCCAGACAGAACATGACAGTACCTGCAGAAGCCAGAGTGCCTGGTGCATCATAGGACACTGCACAACATTGGTTCTGAAACACACCGAGCAATGTCAGAATAATAAACAAACCCCCTTTGTATAGTAAAGCAGCTGACTGCTATTTGACACGGCAGCCCAGGGCAGAGCTTCCCTCCTATTCGGCAAGGGAAAAGTGCTGACTGTAGAAGTTACGGTGCTCACGAAGCCCACACTGAGGGAAAGGATAGGGACAACAACTAATCTGAGGGGATTAGTTCAAATGATCAGTTAATCACAAGAATTGTGATTACTCTAGGCCTGACCATAAAAGCCTCACTTCATACTAGATTCTTTGTAAAGCAAACATAGAAACTTGCAACACGAGAGCTGAAGTAAATGGAGAGCAAAAACCATCATCACAATTTGATTTTAAATAAGAAAGATGCAGCAATTGTGCTTTCGATTTTTCCCAAATAGTTAAGCTTGATGTTTCACCAGCCAAATTACTTCAAAGTATTTTCTCTTCTTCTGGGCTGTTTTTTATTACCCTCTCTTCACCCTCACAAGTTTCTGTTGTTCGTAGTGGGTGCATGATGCATTTTTGTTTTCACCCCATTCAGCTGAAGAACAAATATCAGAATATAATTTACCACTTGAAAATTAAATGCTATAAAAACTAAACCCATAAGTTGGAAGTTCTCAGTGGAAAATTATTTCAAGTTCACCAGATAAATTAAATTTATATATTCAGTAAGTAACCTCTTAAGAAATGTAAAGAACCCCTCCTAGAAAATAGTTTGGTTTTATGCTCTTTATTCCACCAAAACTGCATTGCAGTTTTCCAGTCTTTATATTTACATTATTTGCAACTCTTTCCATAAGTGCCAGTACAAATGTAACTGATGAAAATCCAGAATAGCCATACAAATGTTTCTGAAAGCAAGGTGCATTTCTGAGCATTTTTTTTGTGATGAGCAATAACATATATGCATATATTAACAAAGCTTCATAATATAAAATATTTTCCATGGCAAGTAAAACCTCCCCACTTGCAGCTTATTCAGATTTCAGTTACACAGACTTCTGCATTTCAAGTTAGTGCAAATAATGAAAGTAAGAGCCTGAGCAGAATGATGTAAATGCAATGGAACAAGAGGAACAGCAAAATTTACCAACTCCCTGCATATGATTATAACATTTAATCAGTACATCATTAGTATTCTTTATATACAATGTATTTAAATAATTGGCTTGTCTGAACTATAGGCAATAAATTTACAAATTAAAATAAAACAACATTTCACACAAATATGGAATGTCCGACAAATATATGAAAATAAAATGCATCTAGTAACAAAACATTGTAAAACAAAAAGGTAAAAGATGTCTTCTCTGTCTTGGAAGATTTCAAGGCACTTTCTTGGCAGATCAGAATTCTCTTCTTAGTGGAAAGTCTGCAAGAGAAAAGGACATGCCATTTTATAACTAGTTTCAAAACACAGAGGCAGACTGCTTAGTATAATTCTGTTTATAAATCACAGTTCACTGTGGACTGCATAAATCTTAAGATTAACTCCAGAATGCCAGTGGGTCCTGCCCTCCTGTGAACACTAATGAGTTTTGCCTCGGCAAATCCTCAGTGTTGATGCTAAGAGGTTTAATGCGCAGCCAGTGGTCCATGCTGCTGCTTCTTAGAAGGAAGTTTCCCGTGCATATAGCCACGTGTATTTCCAGATTCTGGGTTTCCGCAAATGCTTTGCTTCCATTTGCAAGGATCTGAATTTTAAACAAACAAACAAAAACAAACCCCCCAAAGAGCTAAAAACCGTAAAAGCGAGTAACCGCCGTGTGGTGCGGAGCCCTCTCCATGGTCCTGAAACAGCCACTCCCCTCCAGCTCCCACCACGGCTGGAGCCTACTGCCTCCTGTGGGCAGATTGGCTTTTCCCAGGGAAAACTTCCATTTCTAAAACAGGAAAAGATAACGTCTCCTTTTTGTATCCGGACACTTACAGGAGAGGGAGAAAAATATTTGCATAATAGCACTGCAGTTCTTTTTTATGAGGAAAATGCAGTCTGTTTTAGTGCATGCAGGAGAAATGCTTAAAAATAGTTGTCAGTCCTTCAAGTGGGAGAGCTTCCTCCTTCAAGGCAACTGAGAATCTCCAAGACACTCTCAGATGCTAAAGCAAAGGCCAATTCCCTTACAGTAAGCAGGAACTATGACTCTGTCCTCTCTAAGCTAGTGTAATGGTGGTGAGGAAAACATCTTCTGTGCCAAAAGATGGAGTAGAAGACATCACAGAATCACACGAGAAATGCAGTGTTACTGAGGGGTGAACATATATAAATCCTGTGCTGCCTGGTCTACTTGAAGGGAAGAGAGAGTGACTCCTGATGCTCTTCATCCTTCACAGGAAAATGTTTCTACTCCAAGAATGTATTGGAAATGAGTAAACATGAAGACCTGAGCCAGTCTTTTCTCTAATGGAAACTAGCCACTTTATCTATCTGGTGGAGGAACAGGGTAAGGGAGCAGAGAGGCAGCTGGGAAACACTCAGATCATAGCTCTACTTTTTCCTAGGATGTTTTCTCTGTATTTAAGGAAGTAGAGAGAAAGTCAGTCTAGATGCAACTTTAAGTGAACACAGTGCACAAGAGTTGCTAATATTGCTTACTGTTTAAGCCCTCCCTTCCTCACATGTCATCTTTTTGAGTGTATTTTTGGCAGATAAATTAGAACACCTGGATTTGCAAATCATAGCAACTTTAGATCCTTTTGTATTTTAAAGATGAAAATAGGATGAGATATAGATTTTTCTGTACTGTGGATATGGAGGCAGATCTTTGACTCATCCTCATGAAAAAAAGAAAAAGGGAATAAAAAAAAGTATTGGAAAACATAGAAATCTCTCTGGAAGCCCTGAGCCATGAACCCAGAGATGTAAAGAGACTCAGATGAGGGAAAAACATAGACTAAACAGGTGAAAGTGCAGAAAATGAGAATGCTGGGATGCTTTAGAAAGGTGAGATTTGAAAGAGAACACTAAAGAACAAGCAGGAATTTAGGCACCTGAAAAAATATTTCAAAAATTTATTCAGAAAATAATTCCTGCCCTTAATCATGACAAAAAGATCCTGGCAAAGTAGTAAGATCCCTAGTCAGCTTCTGGTTCAGCATCCCTGATACGCTCAAAACCATCTGCAAGACCTGGAAGGCTGAACAGAATGAAAATAGTTTAAAAAAAGAAAAGAAGAGGAGAAATAAATTATGTCATTTCTTCTCAGCAATGAAATATTGACATATTCTTCAAAGCTTTTTCTCATAGCCACCAAAATGAATCCCATCTCCACTTGGAAATCAGATCAGCTAACACTGACTCATATCCTACTCTTCCTTTCCTATTCTTGATTAGTATGAATTGGAGTCTTGATTCAGGAAGTAACATATACAACTCCCCCAAACTCCAGCTTGCAGCATTTTTCAGGAGGAGGTGGTGAAAGGAAACCATCTTTGAAGAAATTTAAATAAATTAAACTCATTGATTTAATACAATTTATTTGTCAATAATAACCAGTGCAGTTTTCAAATGACTGTTGGAAGTGTAAGCATCTTATTGATATTTAAACAACTGAAGAAAATAGCTCAGTTGAAGATGTTCCTTTTTTCAGTCACAAAACTGTTTACTGAACAGATTTAGCATGCTATTCTTAAACAAGAATCACCTGGTTCCTTCCCCAGCCTGTTAGTTGAAGACTTCAGTTTTGTCACATCTTTATCAACATGAAGTGATATTAGCTTTAAAGAAATTCTCACGACACACTCTGGGAATGAAAAGTGGTTCCAAAGATGAACAAAGTGACAGGTTATCCCTGAAGATTGCATTGGCAGACATTCTGTTTCTTCCAGGGTTTAACAACAAATTGCTCTTACTGAAAAGTCTTAAATAAATGTGTTGATGAAGTCCTCATCCAATTCTCTTTCACCAACCAGACTCCTTTTCAAAATTTTGAACAGTAAGAGGTTACTCAGAGCATAATTATGGACTATGGTGCCACAAGTGACTGGTAGGAAATTACAGTGGAGCTTGTATCAGAGGTACCTGTGCTTCCATGTATTTCCATGAGGAACCAGATGGTCCTTACAGCAATGCCAGAGCTGCATGCTGATGCACTCTGTTAATACCACATTTCTCTATGCACACCTGATAACAAGGTACAAGCATGAAGTAAATCACTAGACCATTCAACAAATTAAAAAATGAGTGGGAAAAATGATACTTACATAGCAAACATCCTAGGACTGTGTACACAAAGGGCTCATTGCTAATCTTGTTAGCAACCTTGCACACCTTTTATAATCTATAAAACAAAATTACACACAGCAATAATGAATCTCAGTTGACAGATACCCTCAAAAACTGCATAAAATAAAATGTAGAATTTGTACTAGAATATCAGGCACGCCACACAGTGAAACCATTCTCTGATGGAAATTCATGAAATTATGCGTGCAAGATCCAAAACTAGATTTTACCCTGGTCCATAGTGTGTGCTTACACATCACTAATAGATTCACCTTTACTAATTAAATGGTATTGCTTATTTTCCACTCATTTTATTTGAATTGTTCATTGTACTAGAGAATGCTGGACTAAATTATTTTTAAAGAACTTCCACTTTCTTTGGGTTTGTTTGTTTGTTTTAAACATTTCATAATATCTTACAATGGTTTTATTTTTCAACCTCTCTGACAAAATTACATTCAGGCTGCAAAAACTTCTCTAGATCTCATACTGGAATACTATTTGATAAGAACTGCATGTAGCAATAACAGAAATGATGAAATAATTGATTTTTATTTGTTTGTTAAAAGTGAGCATGTATTAGAAAATTATCATCACAAGTTGAAATATAGTGAAAACCAAGATATAAATACTACTACTGAGGGTTAAGAGAAGGTAGGAAATTGTTCAGGTTTTTACTTATTGCTTAAGTTACTGAGGAGAGATAAAGGTAGCATGAGGGAGAACAGGGCTTCATGTCTGTCATCTGCATAGGCACACCTGACTGGTTTTTCAGAGTGTAGTTTTCATTTCATTTATGTTACTCTCACTTTGAAGGAACTCCACTATATGCAGCTGACTACAAGTGCACTAATATAAAATCTCTGTATATTAAAAGAACTTGGGTATATTCTGTAGTATAGTCCTACAGAAAACAGCAACAATTACAAAATGACCAACACATCACACATTTAGTAGCAAAGGCAGGTTTCTTTTTAAACAAGTGTCTCAGCTAGCATTTTAAGGTACATTAATTACTACTTACAAGCTGGTGTTGAGCAGTCCCTTGTGTTGTGATACAGTCGATGAAAGTGCTTGCTACACTCTGATGAAAATGTGACTGGCCCTGTTTGAGAATAAGCAGGAGTTAATCACAAGTTTTCAATGTCACTGCTTTGCAGCTTCAATGAATGATGTCAATGCTCATAAGTAAGTTCCATTTCTTTTAACAAGTTTATGTTTACTCTTTTACTCTACCTTAAACAATCATGGTGCAACACAAGTATAACAATGCTACTGAAATAGGAGAAAGAAATAATATTGCTATGCCAGTATGCTAATGATCAGAATAACAGAAAAATGGCCCTTGGAAAGGATGGACTGGTTTAGCCTTGAAATTCCAGTAATTCAAAATTAAAAGTAAAATTTCTTATATAATGAAAGATAGAATAGTGCAACTACAACAGAATTTCATTTGCTCAGTAGTCAGTATTCTAAAGAAGGAGTAATGTAGATGGAAAGCAGATACTATTTCTAAAGATAAATAAATGCAACATTTTAAGCAAATATGAGCTTCTAAGCCTTAGAAAGAAGTAGCTTCATGTACTAATGCTTCTAATTTGCACATAGATGGTTTATGAAGTTCTTAATATACAATGTGAGTGTTGAGGGAAAAAAAAAGACTGCTGAAGAGCAACTAGCAACCTGATGTCCTGTTAAAGTGGTCCTAGCAAGAAAGGATGCAGATGTGCAGAGGGCAGCATGTGTTTCAATGTCTGGGTGAGGCAAATCCCTGTATGCCCAGGGTGTAGCATGCCATGCCTCTGTTCTTCCAGCCTGTGCTTCCTCCTCTGGATACTAGTGTCATCTACCTGCATTACTATTTGATATGAATATATAGCTACTGATCTCCAAAACATGGCTCAAAGGTAAGGCAGTTCCCAAACAGCCCTTCCGTAATTGCTGATGGCCTTGGGAAGGTGTTACTGATGGCATCCAAGTTGAAAAGGAGAGTAAAAATTTAATATTTGCATCATGTAACCTGCTTAGCCATACTACCACTGACAGCTGGGGATGAGTTTCCTGTGATTTGGACAGAAAACACTGCCATAAGGTGACACTAACTGAACAAGGATAAATTTAACTTGCATCCTCTAAATTGAGCCCAAAAAGGAAACTTGAATAAGAATAGCCTGTTTCAAGCAGTGCTAGAAAAGGGCCCATATGAAGCACGCTGCTTTGACTAACTTTCCTGTCAGAGGAAGACCGCAAGTATTTCTGGGCAAAAATTATTTTTTCACAACCTGAAAGGTCATTTATCAGCCTGGTAAAACATACCAAGCGATTCTGTCTGGACAGTTGAGCCAAACTACACGAGCTTGAGAGAAGATTCCTCTCTGTGACAGTGAACACACTTGAACATTAGATATATTTTACAGTAACACTTAGATTTCGTGAGATTTTCCAGCCACAAATAAGCTTGTCAGTAAACTGACAAAGCAGCCTTTACCACTTTGAACTGGAAGATTGTTGCAATTTTTTATCTGAGTAATTAGGCTCAAGAGAAAAGTATGTAATTTGAAATTATCCAAGATATATGGAGGTAACATCAGCTTTAGTCACTAAATAAATTCCATGTCTCTTCAGGTAATAAATGGTTTTCCAGCTCTCTTCCTTGCCTAAAAAATAGGCTGTTAATTCTATTTATGCCCTACAGAGGACTCTGTGTCAGCTGGCTTTTCAAGCTGAATTGATAGATAGCTTTATGCCTCACAAGATAATTTATGATTTTTCCTATAGTCAGGGACTGTTACATATGGTTCTTATTTGGCTTTAAAATGTGTCTACTATTCTTGGCATACTAGAAGTTTACAATAATTTTCTTAACCCTGAAACTGTAAAGATAATGGACTGTAAAGATAATGTTGATTTCCCCCTCTCCTATTTTTCACAACTTAATTTGCTTAGGATGTTCTAACTCTTGAACTGGCAAGGACTGTATTTGAACAGTTTACTTAACTGAGGTTGACAGAAAGAAGATTATGATTTCAAGAGAATAAAGAAGAACAAATTTAGGCTATATTTTCAGAAAACAGCTGGAGATTACAGGACCTGAAAAAGCCGCAGAAAAGAAAAAACAGACAGAAAAAGCCATCACTGAAGATCTTAAGAGCACAATTTTAAAAAAATAGAAAAATATGTAGGCAGAAATTCCGCCTACAAATAAATAAACAAAGAAATAAACTTCAAGAATTTTGGAATGAACTTGCTTTCCTTATTCATTCCAGCTAATGCTAGTCAAATAATTTCAGCAATTTTGATGGCAACTACTCATGCAGAAAAGACCTATTAATCTAATGTAGGGCTCCAGAAACAGGCCTTCAAGTATTTTTTGCTATTTTTCTTTTCTATGATTTAGAATTCTCAAAATACCTTCTGTAAAACTCATGGTTGTTTTTCACTGAGTAATGAAACTTGTTCTGTATTCATTGTTTAACTTCTGCAGATTCTTTGTTGAGCTTTCTATGGTAGCTGAGCAGTTTCCAAAGTTAAAAATGAAAAGGAATGGATTAATTATTAATATAAGCACATCTTTCTTGCCTGTCCTCCTCAGGAGAATAATTTCCAGTATTCCTGTGCTACCTAGGATAGCATAGTTGGATCTTTCTCATATGAGCTGAAAATGGTAAGGCTGATAATTACTATTGTTTACTGTAAGAGTGAGGAGCCAGCTGGGGGTAGCACATTTTCTCTAGGTGCTGCTAGGGTGCAGTTAGCAGTTGGCAGAAAGATCCTTAACGTTGTGCTTATCCTAAAAGTCTTGAGGACACTTCCGCCATGCAAAAGAGACAACAAATTATTTCCTTTCTTTACAAGGACTGCCTGAAATTTCCAGCAAAGAGGAAATGCATAACTATTTCCAGTTCTCTTTTTTATGCTCCAACTGCCAACTATTTCTCTAGTTTTTAGTTTCAGTAATCCAAATAACATTTAAAATCACCTAGAGATTTGCTGTGTCATACTCTAAAATCTTCACTTTTCTGAATTACAGAATATTTGGAGCTGGAAAGTAAAGAATCAGTGTAAGCATCTTGCTGTTGGCAAATATTTTTACTTATATTCAGAGGGTACAATATTTTTCCAGTTGTTACAAAATAAAGTCCCAAAGGTAACTGCATTACACATCTCCATCTCAGTTTTCAAGTACAAGTACTTGACTCTAATCATATTAAACTTTCATATCTGAAATAGCAAATTATTTTTATGAATCATTTGCACTGTTCAATCGTTCCTTGTTCTATTTATTTGCCTTGCTAAAATAAGCACAGAAACATATATGTCATAAGACAGAAGACAAAATATTTCCCTGATATTGTCAAAACTTACATGGCCACACAGATCTGTTTCTGAAAGATATATGCAGTCCAATGAGAAGTTTTAAAATTAGTGAAATGAAAATAAATATGGTAGGACTGACCAAAAAAAATTATGAAAAAAAAATATATTTAAAACTAAACATGTACTGCGTTCTCTCATTAAAATATTACATGCCAGAGAAAGCAGATAGGTGCTCACACATACTACATTTTTTACACCATACTGCAAACTGTTTACACATAAATGTAGGTTGGAAAAAACCTTTAAGACCTTAGAATATGCATATGTAGGTAAATTAAGAGCAAGCAGCTGCCTTACCTGTAAAATGTTTTATGAATTTGTCTTTTAGACTGGAATCTCTTGGAAAAATTTCTGAGAAGAGAAAAAAAGTATGTAATATAGGAATTACACTAACAGCTCTGAAAGCATAATATGCCAAAATATCTGCTGTAAAGAGACCAAATAGCTTCCCAAGTTAACTATGAAAATAATTTTCAGTTTTGTGTGTGTGTGTTTGCAAACAACACTGAGAAATGTTTCCAGGAATTAACAGATGAATACCAAACAGTCATCCTACAACACATTCTATCAGATTTT